TAACTTTAATGCAGATAAAAACAGCTGCTTGTTTAAGTGAAAATAAGTGGATGGGGTTTTTGTTTTTGTTTTTTTGCACTAATAAAGTTGTGGATTTGTAAAGTATTTAGTCTCGTGTCAGTTATATCATCAGTTATGTCGTTATCGCAGATTTTCAGATGTATGTGGTGATAAATATTTTTGGTCATATCTGCTCCACATCAGACGGTAACTGTAACTGCTCTGCAGGGCGGGAGTGAGAGCTGGTTCACCGAGAGCAACGTCGCCATCGCCTCCCTGGCCTTCCACCCAACTGCTCAGCTGCTCCTGATCGCCACCAACAATGAGCTCCACTTCTGGGACTGGAGCCGCCCCGAGCCCTTCGCCGTGGTGAAAACGGGCAGCGACACGGAGAGAGTGCGGTGGGTTAAACACGGCCGCTGGTCAGAGGTCGAGTCTGAGCGCGTGCATGACGTGACAGTAATAACAGAGCGTGCTGCTGTTACGTTTTTATTAACATGTCACTGGAGGTGTTTTCATCGACTTCTTCTCTGTGTCTGTCAGGTTGGTGCGCTTCGACCCTCTCGGTCACAACCTGCTCACGGCGATCGTGAATCCATCCAATCAGCAGGTACGACGATGATCTGAAGCCATTTCTTAGCGAGGTAGCGTCATGTTTGAGGATGACAGCCATGTTTCACCTCAGCTGCACGCCTCACCAAGAGAGCGAGTAATGCATGTAAACAAACATCACGCTGTCATGGACCTGAGGGCGTGCCGAGCACCGAGAGGTCTCGCTCAGAGGCGGAGCTAGCACCGACAGTTTTCCTGTCTCTGTGTTATGATTGGTTGGTTTTTCTGGGAGGTGACTGCAGATGCGTTGCTGAGGATGACATCACCACAGCAGGTTTTGGGTGACAAGTAGACGAGGTCGTCCCGTCCCCGCCGTTTAACCTGATCAGGTGTTTTCTTCTTCTCTGCCTCCTTTAGGGCGAGGAGGACTCGGAGGTTCCCATGGACAGCGTTGAGATGCCTCACTTCCGTCAGCGCTCCTTCCTGCCTTCCCAGCCGGTTCGCCGCACGCCCATCCTCCACAACTTCCTCCACATCCTGTCGTCCCGCTCGCCTGGGGCTCAGGCCGGAGGCGAGCAGCCGCGGCCTCTCGGGGAAAATGGAAGTAACATGGCGGAGTCTCCCAGCATCCCTTTGGCCCAGTACCCCAGCTCGGAGCGCGGCCCGCCCCTGCCCGGCTGCACCCAGCACCTGGGCATGGTGTGCATGTGCAGTCGCTGCTCCATCAGTCGAACGGCGCCCCCGCCAGACGGAGCCTCTGTGCCTCCGCCCGATCCACGGGCATCATCGGACTCACTCCAGCCGCCCCCGGCCTCCACCTTCTCCTCAGCTCGCACTGAGCCCAGACAGCCCTCGGAGCGAACCTCCGCCTTTACCTCCGTCTACTACAGCGCCGGCGCTTCTCTTAACCCCGCCCCTCCGGGCGGCCACGAGCCGCACTCCACGCCCAGACCGGCACCCGACTGGACTCGCAACCTGCTGAGTGTGAGGGAGGGGGGGATCAATCCTGGCATGCTGCCTCCCAGAACCTCCGCCTCCTCCTCCATCAGCCTTCTGTCTGTGCTCCGCCAGCAGGAGGGCTCCTCCCACTCCCCCGTCTACACCTCCGCCACCGAGGGGCGGGGTTTCCCCCAGCAGGGAGAGCCCGGAGCCCGGGATACCGCCAGCACGAGCAGTGGGCATCACCCGTTCTGGGACAGCGCCCGCGGCAACACGGCCTCCTTCCGCAACGTGCTGCAGTGCAACCTGAGCCGCTACTTCCTGGAGATCGGCCCCATCGACATGGAGCCGGCGCTGGGCGGCGCCATGGCCGACGGCGGCCAGGAGCAGAGTCAGGAACTGCTCAACAACAACATGGACCCGGACCGGCCCGGGCCTTCCTCATCCTCCTCCTCCTCCACCCCCACCATCATCCACTACCAGCCTCCCCTCCCCCCGCCCCCCAGCTCCCACAGCCTGGAGAACAACGTCCCTCCCCCTGCCTCCCGAGGTCACCTGAACCGCTGCCGGGCCTGCCACAACCTGCTCACCTTCAACCACGACTCCCAGCGCTGGGAGCGCAAGACCTCCTCCGCCTCCACCTCCATGCTGGAGCCCCCCTCGTCCTCCTCTGCTTCCTTTCCCTCCCCTTCCTCTCACTGGCAGCCCGACGAGGCCAGGAGGATGCTGGAAGTCCAAACGCAGGAGAGGAGGGCGCCTCCTGAGTCCAGCGAGCAGCCGCCTCCCCCAGCAGCAACAGTGGGAGGAACAGGAGTGGCCTTCCCCATTGCCCCGTCCTCCACCCAGCCCGGGGAGCAGACGGTGGGCCTGGTGTACAACCAGGACACGGCGCAGTGGGAGAGGGTGTACCGGCAGGCTGCGTCAGGCCGGCCGGCGGAGCCACCGGAGGCCTTAAGCCAAGAAATGCCCGTCGACCCCCCAGACGAGGACTCCCTCAGGAGGTACGTCACCTTTTCTTTTCACCATCGCAGCTTTATGAGGTCAGATTCTGGTCCCTCCATCAGACCGTCGCTCCTAAACAAGCCTCGTTTTACTCGTGAACTCGCCAGCAGAGTGTTTGCTGAGCTCAGCCCCCTGCTGGGCTTTAAGAGAAATGCAGGTTTAAGGCAGCACTGTGAGGGTGACTGTTGTCTGCTTGATATCACACAGTCAGCTGAGCATGAAAGCAGTGCTTATAATCAGCTACCATCTGTGTCTCAAACACTGAGCGCGCTCTGTGTGTTTCTCGCCCAGGCGGCTGCTGGAATCCTCTCTCCTGTCACTGTCTCGCTACGACATGTCCGGCTCCAGAGACCACCCCATCTACCCCGACCCAGCCAGGTACAGAAGCACCGCCGTGGACCTCGAGTCTCGGTTCAATATGGGCTTTGATTTAACTCTCCCAGGCCAGCTTGGCTTGAGTCGCAGTTCAGAATAATCCAAATTTATCTCGCACTGGGCCACATTAGAGGTGTCTGCTCTCTGTGACATCACACAGATCTAAACGTAGAAAAAGCTGCTGACACGCATTGAGCTCATTAAACTAGTTCTTAAAAATGAGAACGCCCACCAGTGGAATAAGACCTGAACGCTGCAGCAGGGGTTAAATGTGAGCGGCTGCACACGCTTGTGTTTCTGGGTAAATGATGGACAAAGCCGAGGTCGCTGGGTTTGCCTCTGTCCAGGTCAGAGTTTGAGAGGTTTCTGCAGACACTTGCTGATAAAGCGTTTTTGCCCTCTGCTGTGCAGGCTTTCTCCAGCAGCTTACTACGCTCAGAGGATGATCCAGTATCTGTCGAGGCGCGACAGCATTCGCCAGCGCTCGCTCCGGTACCAGCAGAACCGGCTGCGGGCCATGTCGTCCTCCTCGTCGGACAGCCCGGCCAGCAACCCGCCCGGCTCCATGGACAGTGGCGACGTGGACTTTGAGGATCT